CGGACTCTGGTGTGTGTGTGTGTCTGTGTGTGTGTGTGTGTGTGTGTGGTGTGTGTGTCTGTTGTGCTGTGGGTGTGTGTGTGTGTGTGTGTGTGTGTCTGTGTGTGTGTGTGTGTGTGTGTGTGTGTGTGGTGTGTGTCTGTGTGTGTGTGTGTTGTGTGTGTGTGTGTGTGTGTGTTGTGTGGGTGTGTGTTGTTGGTGTGTGTGTGTCTGTGTGTGGTGTGTGTGTGTGTGTGTGTGTGTGATTATTTCCTTCCTCCGAACTGTGAACAGGGTATATAAAAGTGGCTTGTGGTATCAGCAGCTGTTAACTCTAATCGTCCAAACGTCTGTATCACCAGAGTTTTACCTGAAATCTTATATCAGCATCACATACCCTGTCAGAGGCAGGTCAAAGATTACAATGGTACATATGGGTCCATGGACACAGCCCCCTAATTTGTTGGTAAGCCAGGTTATACAGTTCTATGCGTTACCCACTTTGCATCACTCCTCACTGTTTGCCATATCCCACCCCGACCACACCATATAATGCACTCCTCTCTACTCTATACTCCCACTACCCCCATTTATCACTACAAACTTCCACTACCCCCATTATCACTGCAGTGCACTCCACTACCCCCCATTATCACTTTTAACTACCACTACCCCCATTATCTCTATTACACTACCACTACCCCATATCACTATTACACTACCATACCATCATTATCACTACACTACCACTACCCTCATAATCACTATTACAATCCACTCCATCATTATCATATACACTACCACTCCCTCATTTCACTACACTCCCCTACCCCATTATCACTATTACACTAACATACCCTCATTATCACTACACTACCACTACCTCATCTATCACTATTACATACCACCACCCTCATAATCACTTTCACTACCACCACCCTCATTATCACTACTACACTACCACTACCCTCATTATCACTACACTACCCTCATTATCACTACTACACTACCACTACCCTCATTATCACTACTTCACTACACTACCTCATTTATCACTCTACTACACTTCACTACCCTCCATTATCACTACTACACTACCAACCACCCTATTATCACTACTACACTCCACCACCCTCATTTCACTACTACACTAACACTACCTCATTATCACTACTACACTACCACCACCCTATTATCATACTACACTACCACTACCTCATTATCACTACTCATACCACTCCTCATTATCACTACTACATACCACCACCCTCATTATCACTACTTACACTACCACCACCCTCATTATCACTACTACACTACCACCACCCTCATTATCACTACTACACTACCACTACCCTCATTATCACTACTACACTACCACCACCCTCATCAATGCCGAATTGCAGAAAATATCTGACTGGATGCTGACTAATAAACTTACCCTGAATACTGACAAAACTTACTTCCTTCAGTTTGGAAACAAAGCTGCAAATGTTCCACTTAACGCTAAACAGATCACCAGTCACAAGACTCGCGGAGGGAAAATTCCTAGAAATCCACCCTGACAGTAGCCTCAAGTTCTAGACACATATACAACAAATAACCAAGAAAATCTCTAAGACTGTTGTCATACTATCAAAAATACGATACTATGTTCCACAATCAGCTCTCTTTGCACTGTATCATTCACTCATCTACCCTTATCTCACATATGGAGTTTGTGCATGGGGATCAACTACATTAAATCACCTAAGACTACTAATAATCCAACAAAAGGCAGCAGCAAGAATAACAAATTCCCACTCCCGCCAGCATACTCCACCAATATTCAAAAGTCTAAATCTGCTCACCATTAAGAATATCCATACTTATTCATGTGCCTACTACATACATAAAACACTACATGCAAACATAAACCCTCCACTCAAACTTCTCCTCACTAACCTTAACAGGACACACGACCATAACACAAGACAGAGATCTCTTTTTGATGTACACCGCGTCCATATCACACTGTAAAAACTATGCGCATAAAGGGCCCCAAAATTTGGAATTCATTACCAGAAAATATTAAAGTAACCCGGTCTGAAAATCAATTTAAAACTTCAAGACTAGACGACCAAGTTCATATATTGACAAATTACCACATAGAAGTATACATACCTACCAAAAGCAGTATTGCCCTTCACCAAATTGTAGAATTCTCATACTGTAAACTACTCTTGAATCATGTTTCATAAAAATCATTTTTGAATATATGAATATATCCTTGTTTGTATAAATTAGATTCACTTATAATTAATAGAACTACTGTACAACTATGATAAATTTTGTTAAGTAGTCAGTAAGCCATCATATTAAGTCAGTCCATAATGCCAAGGCATAATAGAGGCTCTTTGTACTGCAGCCCATTATTGTAAATGCATAATCTCAATGTATTACTTGCAAATAAATAAATAAATCTGAATTTGAATTATCACCACATCAGATGCCACTACATATGCTACCACCAATACTTCACATACCACTACCATCACCACCTTATCACACATTACCTCCCCATCACACATCACCATATCACGTATCACCACTTCCACATCGCACACCATTACCTCCCCATCACATGACACACCATGACCACCACATCACAACATCATTACCACCAAGAGATTTACTTCATCAGAGGTGAAGCAGCATATTATGTAGGAGCCATACTGGACCCAGTGTCAGAGCCATCAGGGCTACAAGATTCAAAGGTCATTTACGGTCTGCAGAGAACCAACAAAGCATCTAAATTGCTGAGAGCGCTTCAAAGTTTTAAATATGTAGTGTACTCACTGGAGCGGAGGAGAGATACATGATATATACATGGAAGATGCTCGAGGGCCTGGTCCCAAAGTTTCTCAATGCCATAACAACATACTGGAGTGAGAGATACGGGAGAATGTGTAAAATAAACGCAATGAAAGCTGGAAGCTAATACATGAAATACGCCTGACTTATCATTATAACATGTTGGAGATGATCCTTGGAAATGTGTTTTCTGCTTAGTCAGGTGTTCTATCCGCTATCTACTTTTCAAACCGATTCCAAATGACCAACCGGAAGACAGCTTCACTGATAAGGAGACAGCTTCACTGATAAGGAAACAGCTTCCATGCTGTCCCAGAACAGCGACAAGATGTACACTATAATTCAAACAATATGAACTGTCTGAACGAAGAAGAGCAGCTACGACGATTACAGGGAGCTTCTCGATACATATTATGACTACTAGAACAGAGTCAAATGGATAGGTAAGGCAATATAATCCCTCAAGTTGTCATGTTCCAATTTCCGTTCAAACTGACGCACAAAGAACTCGTTACTTCGAGCTATGAACTTCTTCGCTTGCCAGGTGTACATCGAAGCTGGTCTCTGCACCACTTGCACTTAAGGCTCCACAATGATTTTAAAAGTTCCTCAGGGGGGAAATGGAGAACCACTGTTTTAGTCAGGGAATAAGGAGCTGACGAAATTGAGAGGATAGCCAAGAGAATGAACTGAGAAGATTGAACATTTCCGAGTCGAGAAACTGAAGATAAGAGAAGTGAATGAGCCAGAGAAGTAAATAACTATGAAAAAATAAATAATAGTCCGATTTCAATAATTTTTTATTATAAGTTAAGAAAGTGGTTCAAAGTGTATAGTAGAAGTTCCATGATTTTTGGTATGGCAACACCGTAGTAAATTTTTTTTCCAAAGTGTTAATATTTACGAAGTTGTAGTTGAATTTACATGAACAAGTAAAGGCTAATGACGTATGGTATGAAATTAATGACATCATCATTATATTGTATCCCTCCATTAAAAAAACAAACGATAAAGGCTATTACCATGATTCCTGAATGTGTAAAGACCGTAAGAATATATTAATAAATAATGGAAAATTGTACTAATAGTAGAATAATTTATTGAGAAAAACTACAAAATGAAATTTATGGCCACAAAACGTCGGTACAAGGTGTCCAACAATGTTGGTATGTATACCTGGAGGGTACAAGCTTCAAACAGGACACTGTAGAAGACCAAGGATTCCAGCAGAAAACAATCCACCAGCCGCGATAGTCAGCAAAGCAGAGGTTAGGTAAGGTTTGCTAGGAACAGGACAACTGTTTCCTGACGCGGGTCATTTGATGACCCGCCACTGGAGCTTTTGGTCATCTGACTGAAGCCTTCCGCTGACTTACCGGTCCACCACCTTTTAGGAATTAACAAAGCAGAGTGGCGTCATAATCCCTATGTAATTTAAGGGGTAACTGGCAGTAGTAGGTTCGCTGGTGTTGTCCCGGCCCGGGTCTTGTAGGTGGTGACCCGACAAGTGTTACGGACTCCCAGTATCAACACTGTCTCGTCGCTAAAAGTGGGATCAGATGCCATGTTGTATGTTTTCCAGACATTCGTATAAAAATAATAATATTCGAAAAAAAAAATACAATTATAACCAAAACACCAATATTTGTATGAGTGCGTTATTGTGATGACGTCATCGCATTTAATAAGAAAATTGCGATAAAACCACTTACAAATATTGTATCAAAAAAGTAAAATTACCAAAATGTTGCCAGAATTATGCGTTATTTCTGGTAATTATTATTATTATTATTATAAAGGAGTGCGCTAAACCCTTAAGATTATGCCGCGCCTGTGGGGGGGATGTGGAAGGTATTGAGACTTAATTCAGAGAACCGGAGCACAGATCCAATTTCCTAGATCAAGAGCCGCTCACCAGCATCAAGGAACGTCCCTTAAGGGGTACTTCTGGTAAAAATAAAATAAACAGTTATTCCTCCCTACGTTCTCTCGCCCCTGAAAGAAACAGAGGAAGAGCAAAACATTATTTTCTGAACAGTGCGCACATGGTAGGAAAAGTAATGAAAGTGCATGAAACTGTACAGGTGAAGGTAATCCTGCCAATTATTTATATTTTAGGATTTTTGATGGTAATTATTTTAATGTTCTTGTTTATTCATTTGTTACAGGTAGCAGTATTGGTGCTGGTGTTGGAGATGACAGAGGGGGCGCACCTCCCCCCACCACAATTCATCCCCAGTGACCTACTCACCCAGGACCCCTTGGCTGCTTTCCATCACCGCCTCCGACCTAACTCCCTCCCAGCCCAACCGCCTCACGCCCTCACTGTTTTTCCTACCCACTCCAAACCGAATGGGCCTATCCCACAGAAACCAATTTCGCCCAATTTTATCACCCAAGTTAAACCCAAGGAACCATTCCTAGCCAATCATGACAATCCCTTCCAGCCAATCCCCATCCCCAACAAACCCTTCCAGCATATCCCCAACAAACCCTTCCAGCCTATCCCCAACAAACCCTTCCAGCCTATCCCCAACAATACCCTTCCAGGCCCATCCCCAACAAACCCTTCCAGTCCATCCCAACAAACCCCTCCAGTACCATCCCCAACAAACCCTTTCAACCCATCCACAACCAACCTTTCCTGCCTCCCCACCCACACAACAAAGCCTTTCAGCCCCCCCACATCCACAATAAACCCTTCCCGCCCTTCCCCATCCAAGGCAGGCCAGGCCTACCTGCCGGTTTCGCCCATGGCGCTCACTTCAACACCCCTCCCATTCATGGTACCCCCTTCAACACCCCAACCTCCCATGTAGCAGCCTCTAGCATACACCCACAGCTCCCACCTGGTGCTGGTCTGGACCCGGCAGTATTCACTCCATTCCGCCAAATCCACCCAAAGGAAACAGCCTTCAACCCCAAACAAGGGTACGCCCACTGTCTTACCTTCTCTTTCATAACTGAAAAAGTACAATGATTCAGTTTGACTCTCGTTAAACTAAAACACTAGGAGGAGCCGGGGGATGGGTCTCGAAGTTTTGGTAAAAGAGAACAAGAATGCCAAAGATCCTGACTTAGAATGACTTATTTTTGTTATTATTGTGACTACCATGATATTTTCTGGTAGTCAGTAGAACTTGGACAGAAGCCCAATTCTTCATTTACAATTCCACTTCATGTAGTAGCTTTATTTATTTCCATGTTACAATCAACACTAACTTATACAACGTAGCTGTTCCTATCACACTCACTTTATACACTAAACCTGCACACAGCTGTTACATACCGTTCCGCGTTCCATGTAATAATTTTCCTTACACTTCAACCAATGAAGCAGTCAAGAGGATGGCTAAGAGGTATTGCACCAATAAACAAAGTATTAGAATCCTGGCAAGCACTAATACCATACTTGTGTTGCTTTAATGTTGAATCTAGACTCCGGGTCTGTGACGTCTGTCATGGGTAATATTTATCACATATTGCACACAGGATATTACACACAATCATCAACATTCTCTTGGGAATTCTTAAATTAGAAAGCTTGCTATCTAGATTTTTAAAATAATGTTTTATTTTTAATTTGAGTATTACTAGTTGTGTATGGTAACTTTTCTTCCGGATTGTATTATTCATTGTCATTTTCAAAGATTATGGGTACCTTAGATTAACGACTTTTTCACATACTAAATTTTGTATTTGTATTGGGGCTACAAATGTATATCATGGCTACAAATAGAAGACTCTTAACACGAAAAGAACTCTCAATGTTTAATTCAGATATAGTGTGATGATTGGTAACAGCACGAACAAGTGGCAATGATCAATAACAACATTGCGACTAGCCAATGAGTCAAACACATGTTGCTTTGGCCTACCTGATGGTGGGCAAAAATTCATGACGCCTTAATCCACGGGACCACACATCCTTAAGAGTAGCGCATCCAGCAGAGCTGGATGTTGTACCCGCTACCCAAGGACATACGGCGGTGTGGATATCTCTAGGCTAATTTCATCCTACTCCCTGTTTGGTGTACTAGTACAACGAGCAGTATATTACTGTACTCAACGAACAAGTGGTATTAATCAATAACTACACTGCGACTAGCCAAAGTCGAACCCATGCTGTTTTTGGCCTGCCTCATGGTGGGCGAAAACTCATTCGGCACAACACACATACACAACACACACACACATACAACACATATATATATATATATATAATATATATAATATATATATATATATAATATATATATATATATATATATATATATATATTCAACAATCGGTCGTCTCCCACCGAGCAGGGTGACCCAAAAAAGAAAGAAAATCCCAAAAACAAAACACTTTCATCATCATTCAACACTTTCATCCACACTCACACATTATCACTGCTTTTGCAGAGGTGCTCAGAATCACAACAGTTTAGAAGCATATACGTATAAAGATACACAACATATCCCTCCAAACTGCCAATATCCTAAACCCCTCCTTTAAAGTGCAGGCATTGTACTTCCCATTTCCAGGACTCAAGTCCGACTATATGAAAATAACCGGTTTCCCTGAATCCCTTCACTAAATATTACCCTGCTCACACTCCAACAGATCGTCAGGTCCCAAGTACCATTCGTCTCCATTCACTCCTATCTAACACGCTCACGCACGCTTGCTGGAAGTCCAAGCCCCTCGCCCACAAAACCTCCTTTACCCCCTCTCGAGGACGACCCCTACCCCGCCTTCCTTCCCCTATAGATTTATATGCTTTCCATGTCATTCTACTTTGATCCATTCTCTCTAAAGGACCAAACCACCTCAACAACCCCTCTTCTGCCCTCTGACTAATACTTTTATTAACTCCACACCTTTTCCTAATTTCCACACTCCGAATTTTTTGCATAATATTTACACCACACATTGCCCTTAGACAGGACATCTCCACTGCTTCCAACCGTCTCCTCGCTGCTGCCTTTACCATCCAAGCTTCACACCCATATAAGAGTGTTGGTACTACTATACTTTCATACATTCCCTTCTTTGCCTCCATAGATAACGTTTTTTGACTCCACATATACCTCAACGCACCACTCACTTTTTTCCCTCATCAATTCTATGATTAACCTCATCCTTCATAAATCCATCCGCCGACACGTCAACTCCCAAGTATCTGAAAACATTCACTTCTTCCATACTCCTCCTCCCCAATTTGAGATCCAATTTTTCTTTATCTAAATCATTTGACACCCTCATCACCTTACTCTTTTCTATGTTCACTTTCAACTTTCTACCTTTACACACACTCCCAAACTCATCCACTAACCTTTGCAATTTTTCTTTAGAATCTCCCATAAACACAGTATCATCAGCAAAAAGTAACTGTGTCAATTCCCGTTTTGAATTTGATTCCCCAAAATTTAATCCCACCCCTCTCCCGAACACCCTAGGATTTACTTCTTTTACAATCCCATCTATGAATATATTAAACAACCATGGTGACATTACACATCCCTGTCTAAGACCTACTTTTACCGGGAAGTAGTCTCCCTCTCTTCTACACACCCTAACCTGAGCCTCACTATCCTCATAAAAGCTCTTTACAGCATTTAATAACTTACCACCTATTCCATATATTTGCAACATCTACCACATTGCTCCTCTATCCACTCTATCTTATGCCTTTTCTAAATCCATAAATGCAATAAAAACTTCCCTACCTTTATCTAAATACTGTTCACATATATACATACATTATATATATATATATATATATAATTATATATATATATATATATATATATATATATATATATATATATATATATATATATACATTGCGTTTTAAAGATATATTTTTTCCATTTATGTTCATGTAAAAACTAATAATTTTGTACTAAAAGAACATTAGAAAACTTACCTAACCTTATTAAAACAAACGCAATTTAATTTAGCTTAATCCAACTAAATATATATATATATATTTTAGATAAGTTTACAATAAATTAATTATAATCAAACACAATGAAACATATCTTTTTCGTTAGGTTCAGAAGGATTTTTGCGAAATTATTGCATACACAAATTTTAGCTTGCCTTTTTTCGGCAAGAAGAGCGTTGCTATTAAGCCAAAATAGCAAGTTTTACCTATTCGGCACGACGTATATATATATATATATATATATATATATATATATATAATATATATATATATATATATATGTGTGTGTGTGTGTGTGTGTGTGTGTGTGTGTGTGTGTGTGGTGTGTGTGTGTGTGTGTGTGTGTGTGTGTGTGTACGAGAGTATAGTGGTACCAACATTCTTATATGGAAGTGAAACATGGGTTGTAAATGCTGTAGCGAGTAGGCAGCTGGAAGCAGTGGAGATGTCCTGTCTAAGGACAATGTGTGGTGTAAACATTATGCAGAGAATTCGTAGTGTGGAAATTAGGAGGTGGAGGTGGTGTGGGGTTACTAAAAGTATGTCAGAGGGCTGAAGAGGGGTTGTTGAGATGGTTTGGTCATTTAGAGTGAATGGACCAAAGCATAATGACTCGGAGAGCGTATAAATCTGTAGGGGAAGGAAGGCGGGGTAGGGGTCGTCCCTGAAAAGGTTGGAGGGAGGGGGTAAAGGAAGTTTTGTGGGCGAGGTGCTTGGACTTTCAGCAAGCGTGCGTGAGCATGTTAGGAGTGAATGAAGACGACCGGTTTTTGGGACCTGACGAGCTGTTCGAGTGTGAGCAGGGTAATATTTTGTGAAGAGATTCAGGGAAACCGGTTAGCGGGACTTAGAGTCCTGGAAATGGGAAGTACAATGCCTGCATTTTAAAGGATAAGTTTAGGGTATTGGCAGTTTGGAGGGACATCTAAGCTGTCGTATCTGAGCGTCTCTGCAAAGACAGTGATTATGTATGAGTGATGGTGAGTGTTAAATGATGATGAAAGTTTTTTTTCTTTCTTTTTGGGCTTTTCTTTCTGGGTCACCCTGCCTCGGTGGGAAACGGCCGACGCGTGAATTTTATATATAAAATATATATATATATATATATATATATATATATATATTTTATATATATATATAAATATATATATATATATAAAATATATATATATATATATATATATATATATATACATCGCTCGAAAATTTAAGACATATTGCACATACGTTTAATTCATCAGTACTGAGTTAATTTGTTGAACTTTTACAATATAACTGGTGGGTCAGCACAAGTCATCCTTCACATACCTATGTCACCTTTGCATCAGGGAAAACAATTCTGCTCATCAGTTGGTGTTCGGGCAACAATTATAAAAGACTAGTGATAGTGGACTTTTAATTGAACTAACAACGTCTCGGATATATAAATTAAACAAAAAGTCTGCACCAATAATACTTATTTTAACTTAGTATGTACTAAACAAGGATTTTTCTAAATATTTATGTACCATCAAAACCAGTCATATTTAATTCACTATTACTAGTTATTTAATATGCCCAAACGAAAATTTTAAAATTCTTTAAAACTAAAATTTTAAAATTTTTTACTTACAAA